GCCTTGTTGTGGTTTAAATGTTGTGACAATGATTGTTAACTTCGAATTCAACAAATTTATTATTTCATTCATAAAATTTATTTTTGTTAGAACATAGAGTTGAAAAATAATAAAATAGTTTCAAGGTGTGTATGAATACTACTGTCTTTACAATTTTCTTCACACTACAATATAATGAAATTCAATGATTGATTGTATTTTGCACTAACTAAATCAATCCATTGAGCATCCTCCTGTGTATGGCATAGAGAATATTAAGAATACTAAGAAAAGAATGAGAGATTATTGTTTGTGGTTTGTTGTTTTTGTGTCATTATGAATAAGAGGAGAGTCTATTATAAACACAGATGTTTGTTCCTAATAGACACAACTATTTGTTTCCAAGGTAATGCCAAATACCTTTATAATATATTACTATAATTAGTTTTAAGACCAACCATAACTTGAAAAGCTTAGTGATGCTTTATTTTGCACCTTAGCTCCACTTTAGTCCAACTATTAAGCATTTTTTTCCTCTTTTTTCTTTTCTTTTTCCATAGTAGGATTATGTCCCACACTTATTATTATTGAAAATGTCTAACAATTTTGCCATATGATTAACCAATTTTAGGGATGCAGGGTACTTACTGTTTTTGAGGTACCTGACCTTGAGATTGTTTAACTATTAAGGTACTTGAATCTTATTAAAACTTGAATAAAATTATAAAAAACTATCCAAAACTGAACCGTAATATTATGGCACTATTCGTTAATTACCTGAATTCATTCAATATTCGATTATACATGACAAAAGTTTTGGACATTGATACCCATTTAATAACTCAAACTCAAACCTAAAAAAATATATTTTACATTAATTTATATGTAATTTACTGACAATTAAAATTTAAACCACAAAACATTGTAAAATAACTAAAACGACAACAATACAACATAAAACCAATATAAGTATAGCATCAAACATCATATTTAAATGTAGGATACATCAAACATCATAATATAATCGAGTTTGGGCAACAGGTATCCTAAATGTGATACCCAAAACTTACTTGAACTCGACACGAGTATTAAAAGCCTTACCTAAACTCGCCTCATAACCAAATATAAGGTATTTAAATCTTATTATCGGTTCTGGTACTCGTAGATACCCGTATAATATTAACTCGTTTTCATCCCAAAACAATTTCTATTCTTTTATCCAAATTAGTTTAAGAGCAAACTCTATTGTTAAACAAATATAAGGATAATACCCATGAACAAGTTTAAATTACTTTTTGTCAACTTAGCTTCATTTTGCTCTTAGAACAGTTGCAACACCTTCAATCTTCACTTTTATCTATCATTTTATTTATTTTCCCTTTCTCTTTGTGCAAAATCAAACCTTCAATCTCCATATTCTTTTTATACAAAATCACACATCAATCTCTATATGTATTACAACAATATCGAACCCTTGGCTACAACCACAATTTTAGATTCATTCAAGTTGAAAGCAAATGAACTAGAAGTTGTAAGGTTGGACTTCTCAAGCATTGGTGTAGGTGGTAAGAAACCTATAATAAAGCGTGAAGTTCTTGACGATATTTTGAAGGATTTGAAGAATGGGGTTGTTTAGCTTTTCATGAAAATGAGAATCATTTCAAAGTATCAATTATGGCCTATTTTCTAGAATTCAATGTTGACTATGATGTGCAAGGGGCTAAACATTTAGTTTATTAACACAATGGAGTTTGAAAGATTGATAGAACCTGAAAAAAATTGTAGAGTTATTATATTCTGTTGGTATATGCCCTAGAGTCAATTGGATTAATCAAGGGATATATTATCATTTAATGCATACTTAATTGCATAACATTAGCTGATAGAGGTTTTCCTTCATGTTAGTACGATAATAAGGATTTATTAAGCACTAATTGGATGAAGCTCATGAAACATAAAGGCCTTGCAAGAGAATTGTAAAATTGTTACAATTATGAGATCTCTATGCATCAAAGCCATGTTTCTAAAATAGTTCCTGGTTATTGTATTGTCAAGACAAGGCATTGACTATGCTTACAAACTAGTACATGTTTAGCCTCCTTACTTAGGAAGTAAGCAATCGATCTCATAAATTGAAATATATGAGATACTTGAGGATGGCATGTGCGTGCTTATTAGAGAACAAGTTTACTGAACATGGCTTGCTATGAAAACTCCATTTGGTATTTCACTCAAGTGCTTATAGAATATGTTCTCATGTGATAGTCGTACAACTAGTTTTCAGGAGACATACTTTGATTTCATTTTTATGAGTCTGGAAGTGACTAGATGCCTAAACATGATGTTTTAGGTATGTCATGAAGCATACGAAGGTGGATAAGTGGTCAATAGAGGATTCATCACCACAAGTGATATGAAATGATGTACCTCTTTTGTTCTTAAGTCTTGATTAACTTGTATAAAGTCTTTGGCCAAAGCATGATTAATTTGAGAAAATTTAGTTTCTTAAATTCATAAAGTTGGTCATGAATTATGAGAACTAATATAGAATGCCATAAGTCAACATCGAGTCGTGTTTTATGACATATTTAAGATATTTGATAAAAGGATCATATTGTAGCGAAAGGCTTATCATTGAAGGGTTTTGTCAAGTTCTTTAATTGACTTTTTAACATTTAAGTGGTCATGATGTATTGCTAGATACCGCTTATGATCTATAAATATAAATCAATGATTAAATTGATATTTGATTATGATTTATATTTATTACCAACATGTTATAAGCCTAATGGGTGATACACATTAACTGACATGATTAACATTAAATAAGGATAATTAATTAAGTTAGACTCAATTGAAATAGATCAAAATAAAGTGAAAAAATTAATTAAGTTCATAAGAACTTAATTGAATAAATATACAAATGTTGTATCTAGGGTTACAACTTAATTTGGCTGTATAAATATGTTATGTTAATCAACTAAAATTATTATGATAAAGAAAAAAGCCTTCAGCCATTTGTTAGCCATTTCATAAAAAAGGAAAAGAAATATAGTTTTCTTTGTTTGATAAAAATGAGATTTGGCAAGAACTTTTGATTTTTTTATTTCAAAAACAAAACTGGTTAATACAAGTAAATCCTTCATTTGAGAATATCTTATTTGATCACTGTATGGATTACTGTTAGAAACTAAACACTTTGATGGTTGAAGAGTTTACAAAGCTTAAAGTCAAGAAGCAAAGATTTTGATTGCAAGATTTCATATTATCTTATTCTCTTTTTGAGTTATTTGCTTCATCACAAGCATTTTTGGATTTAATTGGCTTTTGATTACGATATTTAAAGTAAAATATGTAATACTTAAACTTATGAATGTTTATAATTAATTTAAAAATTACATGAACAATACAAATATTGATCTTATGAGATTTGACTATTTCTTTAGTTAAATGACTATTTCTTTAGTTAAATGCTTATTTCATTTTTTTGTTGCGTTATACTTTTGTTTCTTTATTATTTTCATGTTTGAGCATGATGCTAAATCATAGCATATTCCAGTTTCTTTTCCATTGAATTAGATGTTTTTTCTATTTGCCCTTCCCATTTTTCAGTTTCTAATTGTTTGATTTATTGTGGATGTATTAAGTTGGAAAGAAGTTATTTTCTTTTTCAAAATGGAACAAGTGGAGGTGTATTACTTATTGATACATTAGGCGAGCATTCATTAATTTCAAAAAAAAAAATAAAATAGAAGGCGAGTATTCGAGATGGAAATTGTTTGACACTTGAAGTCTTGAACACTTGACTCAAATTATAATGGGAAAAAAAGGGGCTGCAATTTTGTAATTGGTAGAACAATGCTCTTAAAGCCAAGAAAAGCCTGTCAAATCTATTTCACGTATAGGCCGAATCTCATTTGTAGGCCTCAGGCCCAGTGAGCAGACAAGCTCTTTTTTCTTGTTTTATCGTACTGCAGAACGTAGAAAACAAACATTAATGGGAGTACAGTTATTATCAAGAAAAAGAAAACATATGGAACGATTCTATTAGGTTTTCTATTACATTGGAGGAGAAGTTTCTTGTTTCTTTATTGTTGGTAAGGTAAATATAGAAAGACAAGAAGATGCTAGGAAGGTAGGAGCCTGATTTATGAATTGTACTAGCTACTTATGTTGGAAATTGTGTTTATGAAGATGCGTGGTACAAAGGCTTGGCATCTCGTTGAGTGATTCTTCAAGTACTATCAATCAACTTTACAGTTTTTCACACAGAAATATGTTTATACTGATCACACATCATGTTAAATCTCCTTAAATTACTTCATGTCTCACATTTATAATAATTAATTATACTTCTCTCAATCTTATCTCTTCCCTTGATCGACTTTGATAAGCTATTCTTATTCTTTCCTATTCCAATTCCTTATACTCCTCTAATGCTAATTATGAAGAATGAGTTATCCTCTCCCTTCATGCATGTTTGCATATATACTTGCTATCGTTGGTTGAAATTAATCGAGTAAAATGCCACAAAATGGAGTCCATGATAATAAACAACGCCCAACAGGAAGCGACTAAGCAACTAGCAAGGCATGCATAAGTAACCAACAGAAAAAGGACAAGGATTTTCAGTTTAATTAAGAAATAATTGTAGTTGTATTACCATGGACTTGGCCGTAAGGACAAATACCAATTTCCATAGACAATTGCTTGGCAAAAATGCCGTTTTTAACATGTAAATGCCGAATGAATACCATGGATTTGTCAACTTCCATTTTGTTTTGTCTATTTTTGCTCAAAAACTTAGAAACCCAACGGTCTAAACAATGTACTAATCGTATTCCTCTCCACGCGTTTTAGCACAACCCCCGCTTATTAACACAATATTCTTCCTTTGTTCACTTCCTTGCCTTGATTTCATCCTCAATCTCCTCTCTCTCTCTCTTAATTTACTCTGTTCAGAGAAAATCCTGAGGGAGAGAGAATTTCCCTTTTTTTTTTT